TCATGTGCCACAAGTTTGAAAAATGAGAAAATATAGGACATGTTCCTAAGAACTGAGTGAAGATTTGGAATTAGATATAGTTCTGTCAGTTTGCAGTAGCAATAAGCATTTCCTACTTTATAGACAACAGGCAGGCTTGATGAGGCATAAGTAGCTTGTTTTCAGAGGCCTTGGTTAGAACTGTACAATTACATCTCCAACAATCTGAGATGTTTTTCTATTTTCTTTATACTTTCTTCCATGATGTGTGCCATTTAAGAACTACTATTTTTACTATGGAGAAAACCCTGAACCTTTTACTTGGGAAGAAACATGTAAGCATTACTTTCTAGAAAATCATTTGTAAAATAATCATAATGCCAGAGGAAAGGAGAGTTGCTGCCCTATGTCTGGTGTCTCATCACAGTATCCAGCTGCACTAAAAATGCTTATCTTTAGACCTAGACACCAGTATGAATTTGAGCTCAGGTGAAAGTCAAGCGGGACTAGGATATGCGTATTTACAGTCAGCTGTCATGAAATAATTAGTTGAAGTTTCTCAATTTATGCTATTAATAGCTCTCTACAGCATGTGCTGAGACCAAAGTGGTGGCACTTCCTGGAACCTCTTCACCACTGGAACTTGTCTTGCTGGAGTCGTGGTCAGTTTTGGTAGAGCATAGTTTCAAAACTAATCTCTCTGCTTATCACTTGGGCAAAAATTGCATCAGGTTGTTCTGCCAAGACCAACTTGCAGTTCCTTGTGTCAGGGCCTCTCGGTTTATTTGGGAAATGGGGTTTATTCATCTAGAGAGGAGGCTGCCCTATGTGTTCCTAGCAGCTTCCTTCAAAATGACTCATCTGGACTCTTCTGCTTCCCTTGGGCTAGGATCACACTTTAACCTGACAGCTGAGAAGCATTTCTTCTCTGCTTTCCAGCTCCTTTTTGCTTCCCCTGCAGCAAGCTTACCAGCTGTTTTCCTGAATACGTAAAGTTTGTGCAGTGTCAGAGCTGTGAGATGCAAAGTCTGCCCTGAGTGTCAAATGCTGGTACTGCCTGGCAGATCCTAGCCAGCTGCTGGAAGATGACAGTGACTGACTATCCAACGTACTGGAGTTTTCACTGCTTGACTAAATTGCTCTAAAAATCCCACCAACCTCCCTTCTCAGTTGTCTCCTCAGAGACTGCCTCATTCAGCTGTTAGCTGCCTTTGCTCCCTCTTATGCTGCATAATGCAGCAAACCTCGTGCTGTACACTTCATTTGTTTGGGTCTTCTGACTCTTTTCTTTGATGCTGTAGGCACTGAGTGCCCTCATTTGCTTAGATTTTGCTCCTAATATTCAAGTCTCTCCAGAGACTCTCATGTGTGATACAGAGGAGGCAGCACCACCATTACGACAACTCGTATTAACGCATCCCCAGGGCTCTTGTCACAGATTGACCCTCTTGGAGGGGTTATGTACATGTTTGTCTTCAGCAGCCAGGATCTTGGAGTCAAATAGATAATAATAAATATTAACAGCCTGCCTGCTTTTCAAGGAAAATAATTTTTTTCAATTAACTTTTATCTGATATGGTTATCTCTTTCCTTCTGAACGTGTGATACCATCTGCCTTTTCTTGCCTGTTTTTCAATTGCATTTTCCCCTCCCTGATATCTTGAGGATACGAGACCTGGAAAACATCTTACAGGGAGAGCTTTGAGACGTGAGTTTGAGAGAAGATGTAAGTTTTTGTCGATCATATAATACTTTGGATGGTGCAGGCTGACCTGGAAAAACAAAACAAAAGACGAGCAGCCCCTCCGTGTGATCCCAGCTAGACTCGAAGTGAGGGATTTTGCTGTTGTTGCAGTCCAAGCAGCCCTTGCAGCGTCTGGGCGATGACGCGGATGATGACGAGGTGATGACGCGGATGATGACGCCCGCGCCCAGCCCTGCGCGCCCCCTCGAGGCTCGATTCCCCGCGCCTGCGCT